GGGCTTCTCGCATCCTAATTGTTGATGTTCCTTTGAACCCTTCAGTAACTCGCCAGGCAATAGGCCGGACATTTCGACCAGGACAAAAGAAGAAAGTATACGTCTATAGATTGGTTGCTGCTGATTCGCCTGAAGAGGAAAGTCGCTTAATCTGCTGCAGGAAGGAATTGATTTTGAAGAGGTGGTTCGAGTGGAACGAGAGCTGTGGACATCAAGACTTTGATTTGAAGACTGTTGACTTGCATGACTGTGGTGATATGTTCTTGGAAAGTCGATTGTTGCAGGAAGATGTAAAGGTTCTACAGAAAAGGTAATGTGCAGCTCTTCTGAATTTCGAATAGTCTTCAAGATCCTCTGTTCCGATGATCTGATAAATCGCTTAATGAACACTCATGCTTTTTAAATTTAGTTTTCAGGAAGCTATAAATTTTACTTTTAACTTTTCTTCTCAGGTAAACCATCCAGAGAGGCTAAGCCTTTGGGGGAATGTAGATAACCTAACACAATATGTCGTAACTATGAAGGCTTCATACTCATCGTTTAAGGCTTTGGTCAGGGATACCGTAGGCTCTGTAGGCAAGTCCCTTTTGAAAAATGCAGATGGTAGGTAAGAAACTGCTGTGCTCGGCTTCTCTTTCTTCTGTATATGAATCTGCAGACTGCAAATTTGTAACAACTGCAAGTTGACTTGGATACTTTTAGGCTTTTAGCTGATTCAGATGCTCGTTAGCGTTAGATCTTCTTAGTGAAAGTGTCGCCAAATGTTCACCCAAAAGCAGGAAAATTTGTCAAGAATTTAATAGTCTTATGAAAGGTTTTGAAAGTTCTGTTGTCAAGTGTTTTCAAGAATCAAGTCCTGAAAACAGGAGGCCGGATTCTTGCATATCAACGGAGGTATATTCTCGTGTGAGTACACTCATTCACACGGCGACATATCCCCGGTGACACCCAAGTCTATTTTGTTCAATACCATTAACAGAGTTTGGCACTGATTGTACCTTTTCAACATACTAAACAAAAGAATATGTATCTGATTTTTACAAATATGTAGACCTTCAATCAATTTCTTCATATATTACAACTGTACTAGTAGTATGTTTCCAGTGTCCGGAGGAGAGCGACGTTCCTTTTCGCCATTTGCAACGCAAAGTCGAATGTTCCTGAACAAGCGGTCGAAAGCCTCTCACTGTCTGTTGTTTCCTTCTCCCCCAAGCCAAAAATAGTTTGGAAGTAACCAATGTGGATATGCAATGAAGCATCTTTCACACTACGAAATCACGTAATAGATGGGAGGAACTAAATCTGTGTTGCTGCTGGTTCCCGGAATCAAGGCATTCAAAATCTGCTGTCTCAGATCCTACAGAAGAAGCTGCAGGGTTGTATAAATCGTCCCCTCTCACGGCAACAAAACCGTGATGAGTCCCACTAGAGATGGGTAGGCTACCGCCACCGTCACAATGCTGCAATCCCAATGTCAGAGACACCCCGCTTCCACTTCCAAATCTCCCCAGCTCCGGCATCTGGTACACAGCAGCTGCTGCCATATACCTCTCATTGTTCCTATCAGTCTGAACATTTGCATCAGAAATGAGACCAGATCCATCCATACCAGGCCTTTGCCCCTCTCTAAGCTTCACGAGCCCGTACTCAGCTTCAGCTTCGTGACAAGTCACATTCTGGAAACTGGCAACCCCAGCGGATCCAGCCATTTCCACGTCATGGAAATGGTTGGATTTGGAGTCCATAAATTGTCCAGTGCTGCATCTCTCAGTGCCTGTCGAACTTGCACTAGGTTGCATATCTTGTACTCCGGCTTCCATGGGCCTCGTGTTGTCACCTTCTTTTGTTTGAGGTGCATTCTCAGATGAAGAGTTGGAATCCATCTCGGCATCACCAGCCTCTTCTTTGTACATCTCCTCAACCATGGGCTTCCAGAGACGCACTCGTGCATTTATAAACCAGTTTGAGACCTGTGCCGCAGCAAAAAAGTACACGAACTTTCAGATATCGAGTTATTTCAAATTAAACTGTAAGCATGGTACTCAATGATCGATTTTCGTTATAAATGTGACTTGTTTGTTTATGCAGCATTCTTGTTGCTGCAAGAACCTGCAGAATGAAACAATTATCCATATCCTAATTCAATAGAATTTAGCGAGGATCAAGATGGTATACGTATTAGAGTCGAAAGATAATAGATCTTACTCTCTGTTATGTATGTATGTATGTATGTATGTAGGTGGTACCTAAGGAAAAATGCTATGTAAAACACGATTACTTTGTCATTACCTGACTTCTAGTCAAGCCTGTCTGCCTTGCTAGCAGGATCTTATCAGAATCCTTCGGATAGCTGGAAAATATCAATATTAACATTAAATTACGTCAGGAACTCTGATATATTTCGATCAATTAAGCTTTCTGGAAAATAAATTGAGAAAAGGGTTCAAGTCAGGATTTACGGATGAAGGAAATGCTCAAATAGCCATGCTCGCAGAATTGAGACAGAGCTTTCCGGCAAACCTCTTTGTGGTCTCCATGCATGTTGTTGCATCATGCCAAGCTGCTGAAGGGCCCTCTGCTGCCTGAGATGCTGGTCCACATAACGGAGGCGAGATATTCCAACTCCTTTCATGCTTCCTGAGGCACCTTGCTCCCCAAGGCTTTTACGGGTTGCTTGTATCTGGCCTGTGATTGCATCACGTAAGCACCGAAAGTGGCGTGAAATAGTCTGCAAGGCTACTGCTGTGTACGGTTTAGCTGACCCACCTCCCGCTATCACATCAAATGATGATACAACAATCTGCATCTGATGATAATACTGCTTGTACCGTCTGTCAACCTGTGATTGTGATATAAACACCATTACACCTCATGGGACAAATAGGAGCTCCAATCTATCAGACAAAGGCTTACAACGAGAAACAACCAACCACAACCACAAACTTCCTAAAACATCGGTCGTACCCAGTGCACAAGGCTCCCGCTTTACGCAGGGTCTGGGAGAGGTGAATGTCGGCTAGCCTTACCCCCATTTATGGAGAGGCTGCTCCCAAGTCTCGAACCCGAGACCTACCGCTCATGGGCGAAGGCACTTGCCATCGCACCAAGTGCGACCTCTTAAAACATCCTCAAAGAAAAAATGATCGTATAAATATTTTACGTAACCATTAGCTGCTGCTGATGTAAATCACATAAATTAACAGACACGAACACTAGAAATATTATCATGAGCAACTCAGGGACCATGGAAATTTTGGCCCCAAATAATGGCGTTGTCCTTCTCCTCCTGCATCAACAGTTAACAATGGTAACTTCGGTCAATTCTGCATCTTATACTGTTTTTGATTCTTTGCAGAACAGGGTACTTCCGTCAACTGTCAACATAGAAGGATTACCTTGATGTTCCATCAGGGTCCATAAACATACGGGGGAATCAATAGACATGTTGACAAGCAAATCAGGGGATGAATTACCCCAATATTTTCACATAAGGGTGTTATGCTTCATTCCATTGCATCCCGTTCAATTTAGACACATAAGAAACCTTACGAATAGTCGGAGATAATTCCGTTGGGAGAAAGATTAAAAGTCCCAACTTTTTCACATGTCAGTCAAACAAAATGCAAGGCTACAGATGCTTCAACTGGAAAGATGAAGGATCAATTAATTACCAGTGAAAACATCACTTAGACATGAAAGGTTATACTCAGAACTCTTTGAAATTTTTGAAACTTCATCTTCATTTAAGTATGTCTGAATCAAAGAAGAAAACTGAAATGGAATCGTTACCAGATGTTGGTTTATCTATCAATGCATCACTGTAAGACTACATCATTAATCAGTTATTTTCAGTTGGAACAATCAGATATTGGCAGAAGCTCAACAACAAAATCATTAGCATTTTGTTTCGTTTTGCTTGAGTAGACTGCTACTGCATATCTTGTTCCTTTCGTATTTTGTATTTTTCAAAATTAAAGAAACATATCATTGATCCTTTCAGTCATTATCGTGAAACCAGTAACTATGAGCCTAAGAGAACAGAACAATATCATGAACATAAAAGCATACCGATCACTGGTAATAAACATGCTACATAATATCACCTGCCTAATCATGCACACTCATCACACACATGAGAAGTGATAAAGGCAGGTGTCGTAGTCATCTAAACTCCAAACAAAGCAATCATCACAGCATAGAAAGAACGAAGACGAAAGGATACTGCCAATCAAATTTGCAACTAAAATTGATTTTAAGCTCTTAACATTATGACCAACTGACGAGACAAGCAAGATTGATCATATAATTAACTCATAAAGAGACATAAAACTATATGCATTGCTCATACCTCATCTAGCATTGACAGAAGTTTCGTCAACTTGCTTTGCAACTCTTGTTTCTCGGCATGTGAAAGCTCACATGGTGAGTTACTGGCCGACTCTTGAGGGTTTGAAGATACTCCACTCTCCAAATCATTCTTTGATCCATCATCTCCCTCCTTGAAACTCTTATGATGATCGTGTGTGCTTTGGTTCTTCTCTCTATCATGTTGCTTAAGTGCTTTCTGGACATTGACGACTTCATCAAGCAGTTGTTGTGCTGCTTTGAGGTATTTGTTATGGGGAATGGTTCTTGCAATACTTGACATCCCATATGGAGACAAATCCCCTTTACTTGAATCTGGATTGCCTCCCGGAAAACCAGATGGCAAATATTCAACATTTCTTGGCTGCTCATCTCTAAAAGAGCCATTCCTGCCGTCACCCTCACTTGAAACGGATGGGTTAGGACTTAAGAATGAAGCAAAACCCATATTGGGATTGCGGTATGAGATAGAAGGCATTTGCATTCCTGATGGGATTTGTGTACTCAGGCTGAGGGACAACCCCTGACCTTGCAAGTTCTGTCCACCATGAAGAATACCTGAAGAACTACCCATGGGGTGCGTAACTAGCATCTCATTTCTACCCTCCCTCCATGGACTGAATCCCAGCTCTCCAATACGCGTTCCACCAAGATGCGATAGGACATCGTGCTGCTGCTGGTTGGAATCTGAACCCTCCACTGAGGAGATTACTTCAATGCAGTTGTTTTGCTGCTGAGAACTCCCAGCCACTGCATCCGAGTATGACCCAGAGTTCATATACATCATCATGTTACCAGTAAGAAGAGGTGCTTCTGGATAAGAACTAGGCAAAGGTGGTTCCCTTAAATAGAGCATTGGCGTAGCATCTTTTTGATTATTCGAACCAGCATAGTAAGTTGACATAGCTCTCTCAACCCCTGAACCAGTTATATGAGCCCAACTACATACTCATCCCGAAGACTGAAAAAGGAGTAGAACTTCCATCATTGGCAAAACCGTACCATATTCGAAAAACTAACTAGTAAGTTTGCAGGAATTCAGGAATTTAATAGTGAGTATATTATTACTCACTCACACCAGTATAAGCCAATGCATTAAAGCAAACTACTAAGAACAAGTAGAGAAAAAATTTCTACTTGGAATTCCAGGCAATCCTCACAGAAGAAAATCAAACCAAAACAAAATTTACTACCAACATACAGAAGCTCATTATTAATGCCCAGCAAACAGCGGAATTAAGCATCCAAACAGCAATCTTTGTATGCAAGAACTGAACTTAACATACGTGATGCCGACATATGAACTTTTTAGGTTCCTGGCAATCAAAGGATTTATACAACTTTTTTCAGTTTGAAAGCTTCCAATTGATGATTGTAAATTACATAGAACCTCTTAAAAAGAATGAACATATCTCTCTCTCTCTCTCTCTCTCTCTCTATATATATATATATATATATATATATATGCAAACAGAATCAGAATTCAGAAATCAATCCAACAGAAGGAAAAATTAAACATATAAGAACAATATTTTTAGATAAATTGATGATAAGAACAATAAAAATAAATCTACTAACTCTGTACTTCCAAAAAAGAAATTAATGGATCATCATTTTAACAAACAAAAAGAAAGAGAGAGAACAACGGAACCGAAGAAAAGGAGAAATTCATGAGTGAGACAGACAGAGAGCAGCTAAAAGATAATTAAAGTAAAAAAAGAAAAGAAATGGAAGATAGAAAAATACCTGGAAACCCTTAAGAGCTGTGGGTT